ATTCTAGAAATAGCAATTTTTTATATCTCCAATTCTCTTTCTTTTGGAAAAAGCATGCATTATTTAATAATTGCCTACAAAGTAAGTAAAAAAATATTTTCTATATAATGAAAATTGTAAGGTATTCAAGGTTGTGCTATGCTCGTTCGTTGGTCGATATTTGAGTGTATTGAGTTGTTGCTGTCTTTTCAGCGGGAGGGACCAGTCGACGAAATGACAGTAAAAACAGTACCTAAGAATGCGGGAAAAGTCGTTAGTGAGTGAAAAGCCGCTGTTACACTGTACAGTTTTGTCAGCAATTTGTCTCACGCCGTTGCGACACAAGTAGTTGCGCAGAAAATCATAGCCTTGTTACGACCGAAAACCGAAATGGATGCTTCGGAGAGTAGGTAACAAATTCTCTCTCCAAAACTGATTTCAAAGTAATGTCGATTGCAAAGTCCGAACGTGYACCTGAAGGATAGTGTTGATTTTTTTTGGATACATACCGCCAGAAAGGCTTCCAAACCAGCCATTACACCAAGTATCAAGTATAAACGTGAACCAAGTGAGCCGCCCCATAATGGCCCAAGAATAGATGCTACCCCTGCTGCTGAACGTTGGATGCCTTGTGCGAGACCTGCAAATGAAGGTAAAAGAAAACTCTGAAAAATTGTCTAGTATGCATGATTTATTGTAACAAACAGACGGATAAGCAGGCGTAGACAGACGTACATCAAACGATAATTTATTCATCTATTTATCCCATTTCTTTTCTTCGTCACTTACATTTCGTTTCATCCTACAATTCACTTCTTTATAATCTTTCATAACTTTATGAAAAATATTTTATAAACTTCAATTTTTTCTCCCTCTTCACATTTCTTTTCCATGTTTACTCATCTGATTAAAGTATTACCTTGATTTCTTTCATGTGTCAGTTTAGACAAAAGTGAAATATTTGCCACAATAAAGAATGGCAAACCAAATACAATGACAATGGTACCAACAGTGATTACTGGCAGGATCTTTGGTTCATCTGAAAATAGTCAATAGATCTACTTTTAACTATGTATACAATAATTTAATGAGTCCCCAAATCAAAATCAAAATGTTTTGCCTTATTTACATCTATGTTGATGTCTATTCTGACAAATTCTGTTAGTATACTACAATACAAGCAGTATGCAGTACAAAGGTTTGTTAACGAACCTGTGTACAAGCTGTTTACAACCCCCCCCCCTCCCTCCACGGGCAATGAGTGTGAATTCTGCTATATAACTATAAGCCTTATTTATACTTCATACTTCATGCTCAAAATAAAACCACTTTGTTTACAAATAAGACCACTCTACTGCCTGCAGACAAATATTAATAAATATTCAATTAAAATTTGCCTGAAATAGAGTAAAAAATAATGCATTAAGATATCAAATGACAGCTTACATGGCTTAGCATTGGCTAACATGCATAGATACCAAATCAAGGCACAACTTTCGACTGCAATACCAATAGCTATAAGCCATCTGAAACAACAAGAATATCAACAGTTATTATCATGCCAATAATTGACACTGAAGACTCCTGCAGTACTCTCTCCTGAAGCCAGTACTAAATTAAATATATGCAACGAGAAAAGTGAAAAAAATAAAAGAGAGATGAAATTTTTTAAATTGATAAAGTTCAATTTTATCACAGTGCAAATCAAAGTACATACTATGTACTATGTGCCATATGGGAAAATATTTGGCTCAAGGTTATGCCGTATGGAACAAGCGCAGCAAGGTCCACACAAATGACTGAGAGCCAAATATTTTCCCGTRCAGCCCGACCTAACTCAGTCAATAAGTATTTTATCACATGACAGCGTTTTTTTAAGCCATTTCTTTGATGAAAAGATCAACTAACTTCAAGCTGGGAAGATACGGGTTTGTACGGCCATGTTGCGAAAAGGCGTACGGCCCCCATCCCGTGACCATTTCCCAAAGTCTTTTTAAGAGCGCGCGTAGGGCCGAAATACATGTCATATGATAYATAGACAATACTAGTGGTTCATTACCTGTCAGTCACTCTGGTGCTTAATTTTCGAACAAGAACAAAYGTTAAAATTGCCTGTGAATGCAAACAGCAAATACAATCAACAATTCATTAATAGGTACTTTGACACTGATTCCACTTAGAGCTGCAAAAAAWCAATCATTCAATCACTRKYCAACCATCAAGTCTTGTAACAGGACTCTATCATTCAGACAAACATTCAATCAGTGTATGAATTAACAATTTTCAATGGCTTAAAACTAATCATTACTGATATATTTACCTCAAATGCTATTAAAACAAATGAAATACTAATTTCAACTTCTTTCCATCCCAAAAAGGCATTTGTAAGAGGAGTATACATTGCCTAAAAAATTAACTTTAGTTAAATTATTATTCATAGAAAAACAAATATCTATATTTTACWGTAGCTTATTACTAGTTGTTACAATCATGTGACATATCTAAATTAAAAAATATTATAGAATTTTAATAAAAATTGTAAAACTCATGAATATYTAATGAGGAAAACAATAAAAATCACAACTGTGCAGATTGTTGTAATATTTGGTACAACAACACTGGTCACTCATGTTGTAAAACATTACTTATAGACACATACCTCAAATGAAGTTTCATTGAACAATAAAATGAACTGAGATGCAATAACGACAACTACTGCTTCAGACAATAAATCTATAAACAAAAGATAACAGTTAGAAGAGTATGTTTGTTAGTGACAAGATGGTAAATGAGAGTATCAATCTGTAGCTTGGTATAACATAAGCTAAGATGACTTGTTATGTGCAAGGGCTTTGGTACATCTGTAAAATAAACATAGGCGCAGAGACCAAAATGTATTGTGGATAGTTTTGAACTTTTGAAAATGCTGCAGCATACCATTACTTGCAAATGAAAGCAGCCTATAGTACAGGTATCAGTCTACTTCTTCAAATGTCTGATAATTGCAATCTTATAGATTTGGGTATATCTAGCAAGATAGCTAGATAGATGGAATCTCTATGCTGGAATACGTTGTATGTGAGGAAGTACGTACTGACTATATAAACTTACTAGGTAGGTAAAAAAGTATTCATGTCACACACCTTTAGCTAAAACAAGATTTTCTGATAACCGTGAACTACTTCGCCTTCTCCTCAAATTATGATCACCATCGATGCTAGTAGATTTATTTGATATTCCTCCATTGGAAAGCAAGGGTTTATGTTCATCATTTACATTGAATTCTGGTGATTCTATGATTGACGGGAAGTCATAGTACATAAACATCATTACTATTTCTTGGATTACCCACAGCATCGCCATAAATAACTAAGAGGAAGATAAGAAGATGGTTGAATGAAAAGTGAGACAACTTTTGTGCAAAGACAGAAATGTTCTTCACATCATAATAGCATCACTCGTAGGTATATTACAAGTTCACACAGAGACAGATAGTCAGGTGTCAAAGTGCTAATTGCAAGTTAATGTGGAAAGGAGGGTTACGAGTATCGCATGTCATATCTTATGTTTTCGTCGTAGTGAGCAGTACTCTTGAAATTTGCTCTTGAATTTTATTTAAATATCATTATCGATAACGTCTGGTAAAAAGTCTCGAAATACAACATGTCCGGGATGCCATTTATCGAAGTCATTCCATGAATTTGGACCCATGAATAAGTTCTGCCAAGGGCYGGAGCCCRAGTCSGAWGAGGATTTGGCAATCAACGCTAGTTCTAACAACACTGACGTCAACACTGAAATCCTAAAAGCTCTTCATGTCTTATCTGGCCAAGTGGGTTCTCTCAAATTGGAGCAAGAGGATATACAAGTGCATCTAAAACAGAATGAGTCTACACAGACAAAGAGTTCATTTTAACTGTACATTAAACATGACAGCAATAGCTTCAATCTTTCCTTGAGTTGGTTTAAATGGAGCAATATTAAAGGTTGAAAAAGATAAATAATATTACATAGCGTAATCAGCACTTACCCCTGGTGATGTATAGTGGTCCACTTTATAAGGCCCCAAATAAAAGTTTGTTTCTTTCAGGAAAAGGTTAAAAGCAGGTCCTGTGRAAAACATGAAGATCATTTTAAAGTCTAAAAGCATGTCAACTCTGAAACTAATATTTCTTTGGCGCAAAGACAGAGAAACTAAGAATATCACTGAAACTAAACACAGTACAGTTTGCCCCCTGCAATAGCTTACATTTGCTAGACTTAAAGAATAACTTTACCAGAGTACTAACCTACAAGAAGTCCAAATTGTCTAAGCGCCATTGCTATGGAGTAMACACCAGTCCTTTCTTGCTCTGTTGTTGTTCTTGCTATTTGTGCAAAGATACAAGTACCAGCACCAGCTCCAACACCTAAATTGAAATACAGAATATAATTTTGAATCAAAATAAATMAAGTAAATGGAATAGTGAGAGCAAGAGTGATTGARTTCAAGTCAGCTGCTGTAGWGCTCCCTCTCTTCTGTATCCTCTTTTGGGTCAATTTGCACAGACTACAGGAAGTATAGCCAAGATGGTATACTTATATTTCAGTATAYCCACTGACATGGTTCTGGTTTATAATTTTGCAACTTTTACCTGCTATAAGGCGACCAATCAAAATCCAGTATTTATTCCATGCTACGAAGTACAAGATATTTCCTGGTAATAATAAAGAAACAATATTATTATTGTAATTATGGTAACAGTACCTAAACAGGCTCAATGRTCTTTGTTCGAAAATTTCTATGTATCACAAAGGGTGACATCTTGGTGAGTCTATGCATAGAAGGTTTTATGGTTGATCAAAATTGTCTATAGTTTCAAGAATTATTCCAGGAATGTTTATATAACCATGATGGCTTGTGACTTATCCATGTACTACAAACTTATTCCTAGTTTCTGTCACTATTTACTCTGAAGTGATGACAAAATTTCCAAATTGACTGCAATTATTGTGAGTGAGTCCCACAGAGGATGACAAGAAAGGCTTATTTGTACAACTTATAAATGCTTGCCCTGTATTGTAAGAACAATTCTTCCTGAATTATTAAAGCTTTAAATATGAAGTCATTAAATAATGATGTGGTCCACGAGGAGTAATGAAGTAATAAAAGTAGTCTGTCTGGCCTTTCTCACTATCAGCTTCAGCAGTTTTTGACGGCTGGAAATTGCTTGTGGAGTAAACAGGGAATGACTAGGAACAAGTCTGCTAACACTCAATCCCTGCACTTGACAGTCATAGGAAATCTGCTAGTGCTGTCATTGATTAGCTTTGATTCAGATTTGTCGGTAGTATCAATTAATATTAATTTGTTTTCAAACCTGCAATCTCAAATAAGTTTGCCAATAATATTGCACTCTTCGTTTTCCTTGTGTAATCAACAAATAGGCCAAAAAAGGGACTTGTCAGTAATGAGCTAAAGCTAAAGCTAGCAAAGATACAGGCATAGAACCAAKGCTCTGCCCCATATCGCTCATGAGAATACATCCACATTGTTGGTAGAATTACAGCTGCAAAAAAGACCATTAAATCTATAATTTACGATATATGCAGTCAAGTTCTTAAGTCTAAGTTCTTAGCATACAGTATATTTGAACGGTTATTATTTTCTCTTTATTCAAGATTGATGACAAGTAAGCTGCTGACATAACAAATGTACCGGCATCGGCAACAACTCAGCATGCTCGTACGTTTTGAATGAAATAATCAAAAAAAAGCTCACTTAATTATTTTAATCAGGTCTGAGATAAAAATAATTGCTATGATTAGATAATTTTGACGATTTTTTTGGTTCAAGTCGCGCTTCACTGGACTTTAAGATTATGTAAGGATTAATAATTAGTAAGTTAGTCGCACCATGGTCGCACCGTAGCCAAAATCGTACGACTCACGACTCACTAAGCTTCGTCAATGCAAAATATAGAACAACTTGATCAAACTTACCATATTCTGTGCCTGAAAGAAAGAAAAATGTCCCTATAGAAAAYTTCGTACAAATCTTCTTTGTTTTAAGGTTCATTTTTGGATCAAACAACAAATTTAGAGTAAATGTTTTGACATACTTTTATGTATCCATGGGTAAATCCGCTGAGGTCTTGTGACAGCTACTGAATAAATTACCATATTCAATAACAAATTCGTAGGAATATTCGATTGTGATTGGTCAATAGAACAATCGAGTTCAGACTCTGCTATCCCATGCTGTATTGGGCGGAGGATTCTGGGCAAAAACACGTGCAAGGTTTTGTCGGATTAGTCTTGATTTCCATGTTGTTTATTGTGAATTCTTGAAGTTTCGACTAGTTTTTGCCGAAATGCAAACTCTGTGAATATTGATTGAAGATCAGTAAGAATTGCTTTGGCGTTAAATGCAAGTTTAACGGAGAATTCAGGGTGAAACACGCCTCACTACCACGTGTGATCGTATCTCGATGGAGCTGGCGGAAAACTCAACTAGTGCAAATAYTTCTTCTTTGAGCCGCTTATCCTCTGCAAATTCAACGSCATCAGGGTCTAATGTCGCTAAAAAGCGAAAAATTAGGAGGAAAAGTAAATCCGATGGATCAAAAGCCGCCCGTATTGCTCCAGATCTGGACATCGTCAGTGGATTTGCCTTCCTCTCCTTCTCCAATATTGAAGATCTCGAACATCACATCGAAGAAACCGAAGCAAAATCTCRCRGTTTGAGCATTAATGTCGGCCAAAAGAGGAAAATACAACCTAAAAATGTCGAAGAAAAAGCCGAAGTTGTGCGAARTGTCTCCAAAAGAATTAAAATTCCTTCGCAGAAAATTTTGGAAAGTTATGCTACAAAGGATATCCCTATCAACCAGCTTGTAGCGTCGCAGGAGTTCCACTGCAAACAAACAGGAAAAATAAAGATATCTCCAGAAAGTAAACAAAGCAGCACGARTTTGAACAGTTTGAATGTGAACAAAAGTCACTATTCAGAGTCAACATATCGATTTCCTGAGAAAATTCATGTTGAAGAAGATCATGATTTTTCACTTGAGTGTTCTGAGACTCTAGATGCGTGTATGTTTGATGATGAAGATATCAGACCTATTTTAAAACTCGATGACAACTCAAATATTGAAAAAAGTCCTGTAAAGAAACACAAGAAGAAGAAAAAGAAGGTCATAAGTGATACATCATGTCAAACAATGTTCAGAATCAAGAAAAAGAAAAARAAACCGGTAGATAGTGCTGAACCAAGTAAAGCACAAACTACTGTTCCTGAAGAGAATTTTGAAATTGATGTTGTAAATGTTACAGAGATCAACCAAGAAAACAACMAATCAGATTTGACTTCAGACTTTGAGAAAGCTGTYGAAATAATAACRATTGATGCACATGGTGATGCAGACAATGACRRCCAGGACCTCACTGCTAAAGAAAAATATAAACAATTACAAGCCACAAAGTTTTTTGATTCCAGATATCCAAAACCAAAGAYMTCAAACAAGGTTGAAAAAATTGATTACTGYGCCCGTTCTGGAGGAGTGAATTTGGTTGAAAAGCACCATCARCGYCAAGCTAAGCTTAAAGATGATTATGATGCAGTTAGCWTGGKTAGTTATAATCAGCAATACCCACTTGATGATGCTGATGATACAAGCAGCCTTTCTGATAATTCCAACAGTGGAAATGAATGCAACAATTTTTTWCAAGACCAAGAAGGTTTGSTCTSTGATAAGAGTAGRATTTTTGCCGGYTCTTCATCAGTWTTTCTCAGTGCAGAAGAACCTCACAATGACTCAGAAGTRGACATTGGTGATGATTCTGAAGAGTCTTCACATTCACCCATCAATATTGTCAAGGCATTGCCAAAGAATTATCTCTTTGGCCATTTTAGCACGTATCCTGAAAAAAGCACYGATGGAACTGTTGATGTTAGTATTCAAATCTATGATAATGATATTCAGTTGTATATGAACTATGCCTCTGATTTTAATGGAMAAATCATCAAGATTATCACTCCTGATAATGAGGAAATGTCCAAAAACARCAACTCCTGTATACCTAATTGTTCAACAATGTCTAGTGTACCAAAATTCTTGCAGCCTCAGGAGTATGTYAAAGCAATCAGGAGTGCAACAGAAAGAAATCGTCGTCATAATTTAGGTGACTTATTCAACCACCTGAAAAATGAGATTTTTGGTGATGTGAGAGAATTTTACTTTAGTAAACAATCAATTTTGTCAAAGGCCCTTGAAGTGATCAGTTCAGAAGACCAACAGCATTATGAACTGAACAAAGAAAAGGCCAAACTCAGTGCCAAAAACCAGCTACTCAGAACAAGTTTGAATAAACTTCTGTTYGGAGAAACAGCTGAATGTAGTAAGAAAGTTGATGTTGACAAAGTCACAGATTATTTGAAGACAATCAACATTAAGATTCAAATGCCAAGCAAAGATGAAAACAAAGAAGAAGCAGACAAAGGCACTCAAGAACAAGGTGATGCTGCAAAATATGTAAGCAAGAAAGGACGACCACCATTAGTAGGAAAGCTCTTCATGCCCAGGAAGACAGTCCTGCTTCCRAAACCTGTGTCAACWCCAGCAGCAATTGATTCAGAAAATAATGACAACAAAGAAACACAAAAAAACATTATCAATAAAGACCACCAACGGTTCGAAGGAAAAAGCTTCTTTGTGCCTGTGAAGCTGACACAAGCACCATCAGAGGTACCAAAACCAAAGCATTTATCAAGCAATGTCAATGTTGTTATGAACAGTAAAATCAAAGAATTTGTCGCAATTGCACCAAGAGTCACTGAAAAGAAGACATCAACTGACAATCAAGAAAGCAATCTCAATATTGCTATCAACAACAAAGTCAAAGAATTTGTCGCAATTGCYCCACGTTGCACTGAGACCAAAACATCGTCAGATGAAGAAGAAAGTAATCTCAATGCTGCTATCAATAACAAAATCAAAGAATTTGTTGCAATTGCACCAAGAGGCACTGAGAGAAAGACAACTACATCAGATGAACAAGAGAGACTAGATGTCACAAATGCAAACACTGACAAYGTTGTTATTTCAGAGCCTCGACTGTCAGCGGACATACATGTACCTCTTGGGAAAATTGTGTGTAATCTTTCAAACATCACAGGTATGAAATTGATTACAAACCCTGCCGAACCACTRAAGGCAATCGAAAGCAAAAATGTTGTACACATCAAGATTGCAAATGATACWATGAAACAAATGAGCAACACAAGAAATCCTGCAGCATCCACAAGCACAGAARACAAAGGCTTTAAGACAGGTCAAGAATCAATAAAGCAAAGCAAAATCTTYTCAACACAATGTGGTAGTACTCAAACAAGTCCCAGTGATTTACAGACCTCTTCAGATTATTTGAACAATCTAAAACCACAACAACAAGCGACAATGTCARATRCAACAAGTTTTGAAGGGAAGCAGTATTTACTTGCAAAGCCATCAATAAGTGGKACAAACACGACTTTACTGGCTTTAAAACCAACTGATTCACTTAAGAAGCTTGTTAATATACTAAAAGAAAAGGGATTGGTTCAAAGACCTGTTCCTGGCTCCAGTGCAGCCRCCAATCAGTCCTCAAAAATAACAAAAGTTGTCATTGGAGCTGCTAATCCACAATCTTCTACTGAGACTTCCTCAGTCAGCCTTCCAAGTCCAATTGTACAGGTAAGCAAGAAACTAGYGAAAATTATTAATTTGAATTGTTTATTATTAATTAATAGTAATTGATTTGATGAACTTCAAGGTAATGTTTATTATTACATCATATTTTTACGTATTGATATTTTGTGTTATATATTAGTACAGTTGAAYATCCACTTGTGGAGGCTCTCTTAAGCAGACAGTTCTAATACATGAATCAGTACTTTCAGAGAACAATACGTCCGCCATCTTGAAAAGTGAGATCCAAATCACTATGTTGTGCATGTATTACTGCCAGCTTTCCAAAACTCCTTTGAGTTTTTCTTCCATACAAACACTGTATATATTCACTCTTTTTTCTGTTTTTCAAGGACACTTTTTTTYTAACAACTGACACCTATTCCCYATGCACTAACTGTAGATTCTCAACTGTATGTTATGCTGGAATTACTGAAGTACATTTGTGCAGATGTAATGTCATTGCAATTTTTTCTTATAATCTCTCAAATTTGCAYGAGATAATTCTTCTCTATTTTGTATGCAAAAGATGAAAGATTTTATTTATAAATTGGGCTTGAAGAAAGCTTTCTCTTAAGACCGATGAATGTAAAAAGAGCACCAATAATGTATTCACATTCTTAAATTTGATKTCTGTAACCATCACTTCGCATCCTAATAGAATTCATTCTGCAGTTATTTTTTCTACTCAAGATTTATAATAATTTTTATCTCGTAATTCAGCGTAATATAATGATATTTGGACTACTGCCTTCTTTTGGAATAAGATACATATTATTTTCACTTCTTTTTGACTAAACGTTTTTGAAAGGAAATGTAATGGTAATTTTAAATCCAAGAGAGAATTAAGGTGTCTCACACTTGTTTTTAAGRTTTTATTTGTTTTTATTTTGTRTTAATTTTTCAGAAGGCAAAATTAGCACAATTTGTWGCTATCTAGAGACATTTTTGTACATGTAGCCTAAAAGATAAAATGTCCTTGCAAGTACTTCATATTTAAACAACTTTGTCACTCATTTTGAGTTGGTCATGTTGACACAGCAGATCAGAGGTAGCCATGGCAACTCAACCCAGCCACCTCCAGTCATCTTAATGTAATATTTTTGTGCATTTTTTAATATTATAATTATTATTGTTGTTGCAGCGACAAGCTCTTCCAAGTCCAACAGCAAGTGGTGTTCAAACCATGACAAAAACAGCTCAAGTACAGAAATCCAATTTAGTAACAGTGCCAGCAAATCTCACCATTGGAAATAATTCAAAGCTAACTCCCATGGCAACTCAAGGCATTGTAAGAGGCCAAGGTCATGTGACCATGGCAACTCAAGGGTGTGGTATCACTACTMAAGGAAGTGTTTCCATGGCAACTCAACCTTATCTTCCAACAACAAGTCAGGGATATGTTACCATGGCAAACCAAGGGTGTGCTACCAATGCAAACCAGGGAAATCTTGCCACAACTCCTCAAGCTCATAATAAAGTGAACACAAAATATGTCATGGGAGCCTCACAACATGCTGTAGTTTCAACACCATCTGAGCAAAAGTATGTGAAAGTTTTACCCCAACCATCAAGAGGTCTAGCCCCACAGAGCCAAATGAATGTTGTACCAAATAGTGCACAGCCTATCAGAATCATCTTCAAGCCAACAGGAAAACCTATTAATACACCAGCAGASCAGGTCAAGGGAGTAATGCAGTCTCAAAGATTGCTTAGGCTTCCTATTGCCAATGCCAAGTTATTGTCACAAAGTAGCTCAGCAACTTCTAGTACCTTGCAAACACCTAATATCAGATTGCTGTTGCACARCACTAAACAACCTTCACAGAATTCCGYTCAACAAACAGTAAGTAATGTCCATATGCAGAAAARTCCAACTGSTATGGCACCAAGCAAAGGAAAGCAACCATTGGTTTATATAAAACCTCTTCCTACAAAACCTCMTCCCATTGCATCTACCACAACAAGTGTAACTACTTTGACAACATCTGTTCAGCTAGGACCAGCAAGTGCTGCTTCCAAACCAACTTCAATAAATGTTAGTCCAGCAGTTAATTCAGTATCAAATAGCTTGATTAACCAAATAGCATCAGGGAACTCAACTCAATCAACTAGTAATAGTAACCATTCCATGATTTCAAGGCAGGAAATACAAGGACCGGTATTTCAACATCAAACAAATCCACTCACCGCTGTTCAGAGTCCTATGACAGCAGTCGCTACAGAGTCAAAGAAAACTATCTTCTCAGGAATGGAAGAGATGGTTGCCAAGATACCACCTCTACCATCGCCTTTGCAGCAACAAAATGTGCCAATTTTGCAGAACACTTTTGTAAATAAGCTACAATTAAGTCCATTGAAGGCAACTGTGAGACTTCAAAGACTAACAAAAGATGCTCTCACAGTACCAWCCAAGGTCATGAGCAATCCTCCAAGCAATCAGATGCAGGCAGGCTGTACCAGCACTAATAACAAAGGYTCTTTACAAGGAATTTCTCAGGCTAAACCTCTTTGTCTTGAAAACGTGACATCAAGTTGTCAAAGTAACGTCCCTTCAACTGCAGTRCATACAAGTGTGACACCCTCAAAAGACTGCAGTTCGTCAGTTACAGCACCCTTCCAGTTTTCTGCACCAAAGCCAGACAAAACTTGTTCAGTGGTAGAAAGTGTAGTTGATAATAGCAATGTTGTTACAGCTGACACTTTATCAACATGGAATATTGATAGCTCTATACCAGACATCACAAGTGAGCTTCAAAGTGGCCACTGAAAGCATTRTTTGATACTGTGGCAACACAGGATAYGAGAAATTCTGGMATCCATYAAAATACACAGAAAAACGATTGTTCTGGAAAAGATTGCAATGCAAATTAGGACTTTGACTTTCTGGAAGCTTCTTTGGAGGCCCCAGGACAGTATTTCTTACTGGGAAAAAAGTAGAATGAACATGTATGCTAGGACAACTTTCTAACAGTTTTGGTGGTATCAGGTGTAAGTAAGAACCCTGCGCCAACAAAAAGAATGACATAAATTCACATAATGCTCATCAAAAGACAGTAGTACCGTGCAACTGTAAAAAATCTAAGTAGTGCTTATTTGTACTAAAAGTGGACCTGAAGCAAATTGGTAGAGTGCACGCCAAAAAAGCATGAAAGAATTCTTAACTATCAACATCTAATAAGATTTAGTTATCAACTAAGAATTCACTGGGACATGAACACAGTGCCAGAAAGGAAACTTGTCTTTATTTCATATGCCTCACTAAATTCTGAGTTAGTTGATAACTAAATCTTATTAGGCGCTAATTAGTAAGAGTTGTTTCATGCTTATGTGGCGTGCACTCTATTGAATACTTCATTTGTACCAATCATTTGTACCAATTCAATTTAATTTGCGCACTGCGTGCACGATTTACTAAATACAACTAAACAGCACTGTTTAGTCAGTACAGTTGCACGGTTTAAGTGCGATCACTCTAATTACATGAACATGCACAATTTAATATGCATTACAAGAAGAAAACAATCTAGTATTAGCTTAGTAATTATCATGATAATGTATTATGACATGATGGGAACTTGTGTGGGTTGCACTTCTGTTGATTTGAGTGAAAAAAGACATTTCTACAAAAAAAAMGTTTTTACTTTAATCTTTTATATTAATTCTTCATTAGTATATAATAAAAGATCAAGTAGGACAAATAACATTAAAGTAATTACATTTTTGTGTGGTAGAAATTACCTTTWTGARCTCATTTTCRATWATTATAAAAAGTGGTCACTTTCTGAGCACAGATCTTTAAAACCTAATATCTGAAGTATAATTGTCGGTTTATTGCCAGCACACRCTGGGCAAATGCATTCCTTATTGGTCAATCTACCACCCTGGKTTTTGTAATGTATTAATTTAAATGTAATGTTAGACTGTAAAKTATTTAGATTCATACTGACTGTCAAGGAAATCTTGATTAAAATTATTGGACTACTCCCCATTCCCTGTAAATTATACCCAATGCATTGTCATCTTTATGATTTAGTCTGAGTTTTGTGATAACAGACTAGCTACAGATAATGAAAAAAACAGATTATGGTTAAATTGTGATAGTCACATAGAAATGTCAAAAGAAAACAATGCAATTAAAGTGTACTAAGGTGTTTTAAGATATCTATTCCACTGGTTTTTGACCTCACTCTACACCTCTAATAGACCATTTTTTTTGTTTTCTGTTTTACTGCACCAAATAGCAACTTACTATTAGATTTTGTTAAATTGTGGGTTCAATGTTTTCACTSGTTTCCTTTATCGTTTCTGTTTCTAAAATTTCTTGGTCATCAGAATAAAAACACTAAAACCATGAAAAAGTTTACTAATAATGTAAAATGCTACCAAATTATGCTTATTCCTTTGTTTTCTATCGTCTAATCATCTACATTAATTAACACTAYTTGGTTAKTACTTTTTCRCACTTTTAGTGATTGCACTCAAATACCTCTAAAAACTGTTCTTTATTCATTTATGAGCAGTTTTCAGTAGTAAATGGTACAAATAGACTTTTAGCTTTATTCTAATGTTTCCAACATGTAAATAATGTTAAAAAGAACTGTCAATTTAAAAATTAAAGATTCTATGAATCATACATGCTCTTGCTTATTATTTATTGATATTATTAAAGGGACACTATCAATGGCACGCATGCGCAAGTAAACTTGAAAACATTAGGCTAGAGTTTTCAAGTTTAAGACTCCAAGTTGGCACGGCATAAATCAGCTCGTAAACGTAAACAGATCTAGAATATATTCCAAAGTGTGTCAAAAGCACCACAAAATGATTTACCTCGAAGGTAATACTTTCAAAGTCCGTTAGAGGTGAGACTGTTACTGCGCATGTCATCCATTGACAGTGTCCCTTTAACAGAAGCATATCTGTGGTAGTTATGTTGGATGGAAAAGATGTTACTTTTCTAAGCCAGAAAGTGTTAAAAAGACACAATTCTAGATGGATAATTGCAGTGAATTGAACAGCATTGGATTAACTCTGCAATACTGCCAGTAATTTGTTATTCTTGCTCTGAATGGACATTTTATTCTAAACATGTATTGTCTTAAATCCCACTCGAAATGGGATCATTATTGCAGTACTAAAATTCAAATAATATATTGTCACTTATAAATAAATCCAGTATAAAACGAGCTCTATGAAGTTATATTGCTAATGACGTTAACAGGTAGATTTTCCCTTTCTTAACAGCCTATCCCAAATTTCTTGTGGTGGGTCACTTGAKTTTGGACCAGAGTTAATGATGTCTGCAATAAGTGTGACAGAATCCTAAAAGATATGAATAGGTATTGAGTAGGTATACTGTAGTGACATGCAATCTACAAGAGGAGCAATAACATACAAAGTGAAAAGTATTATACTGCAGCTTAAAGTGTCTGCAGGATAATAATTGACACCATAATATTTCACATCTTATAAGATTAAACGATCCAAAATACCGCCATTGAGAGGGTTGTATCATTTTTTTTCCTAATCTATAAATTGAGGAGGATAATTATAATGAGGCTCTGCTAGAGGAAATGATCATGTTCATTGTCTGCATTCCAAAGCTGCAGCATTGAGTCTGTCAGTATAATTCATCAGATCAGCCCTTCATTGCAAGTGTGTGACTCATATTGCGATTTAAAAACCATGTTACTTGTCTAAATTTACCTGTAACAGGGCCTCAATACCCAGTCACTCCTCTCAACTCGACAACCAGTTATCTGAGAGTATTAGACCCTCATGGTGGCCTGGGGAGAAATCCCTCCTTTTTTCTCCCTCCAGTTTTTCTCCCAGATAGATTGATACTTAGGTTAAARTCCAGTAGTCTGATCCATACCTTCTGATAAAGATGTTTCTCTAAATCATCAGAGAATTGTTGTTTGCTGAGTTGAGCAGTTTTCCTTTTTACATATTCATTTTCACTTAGTTTGCTAYGCATCTGTCTGCACAAAATAATAGAGAAATAATTTGTAAATATGATAATAAACTCACTCATAAGATGCTGGATTTTGATGAAAATTTTATGATATTTTAATAAGCTTTATACCTGCATGTTTTGCATTTCCTTGGTTGATGTAATGGACTAGCAATTTTCTAAAAAAAATGTTTCAAGCTCAGTTTCAGTAAAGAAATTATTTKAGCAAATCTGATATATATGAACTTGGAAACCATATTATTACAAAACGTCAAGTTGAATTTTGTGTTTGCAGTTAAAGTATTGTGGTCAACCTAATTTTGCCTTTATCAAATAATCAGATTTGTCAACCTTCTTGTGATCTCAGACATACCATATTATACCTCCCCTATAAATTTAGCAATACCTCTAGCATATTAAATTTCTGTGTGCAAACCATTAAAAGCCTTTTGAAAGTGGCGYGTGTACAAATAGTGCCCCCAAGCATAGACTTTGCACAAACAACCATGAGGCCACTATCATCATGCTTTTGATTTTTCACTATCATCTTTATTTACTAATCATTTGGGTCATGTGATGCCATGAATTAGTTTATTGTATAATCACTCACAGCCCTCCTTTCTCCCAACCACCAAGGTGTGAAAATTAACCATCAATATTAATATTTTACAAACCATCACAATGCACTAGCATTTTATATTATAATGTTAGGTCTTTAGTTACCTTTTCCACCTCAAAAATGGTATTTTCTATTTTCAGTTGCTCCAATTTTCTTGTATTTTTCAGGACTTTTTGAGTATTAGACTTCAGAGATTGCTCTGTGTTATAAATAATTAAACCATTTAGAAACATACTGTAAATGCTTACCATATATATATACAGATTACAGGACAATTATTGCACAATTAAAAGAATTATATCTGGGGGCAATCAATGTTTTGTCTCTTAAGTCCCTCTACACATACTGTGGCCTAAGTGCCTCTTGAAGTGGTAGATCAATGTCATCCCCTAGCTAGGTGCACCAGATAGAAGGATTAGGAGGGTGCCTGTTCTGGATTATTTGTAGTCTCTTTCAACAGCCGCGACTTCTGGTCTCRTCAAATTTCCTCCCCAAAAGTAAGGGGAGGAAATTTGACGAGACCGGAAGTCGCAGCTGTTGAAAGAGACTAGATTATTTGAGGTTTTTGTCTTAAACTCATTTACCTGTAKTTTGTTTCACTTTCTTTGACTTAAACTTGTTTCTTAAAACATTAATCTTTCTTGTGTTGTATTCATAAGATTGAAGTCTTTGATCTAATTGTAAATCAGATTTTTTGCTAAAAAACACTTTTAATTATATTAAAAATTTAGTGTCAGAATATAGAGATGGTCAGTGACTGAATGCAATTATCCTAAAATATTAGCGATTCTAAAAGCTTTCACTAAAGTAAATCATCAATTGATTTATTCAATTGCTGGAACAGGACCAGAAGCAGGGGTGCAGCAATAATTTTTAAAAATTCTATGTTATGTTATTCTGTCCCATATGTTGATACCTTTTGGCAGTTTCAAGTACTTAATATTTTCATAGATTCGCCACATTAAATATGTTCTTGAAGCCCCTCAAAATTTCCGAGGTTCAAAATTTCAAAAATTTTCATTGTCCCCTGTTGTCCAGCCTTCTGTGGTATTATAGGCCCCCCAACCAAAACTATGCTCTGCAGTCACTGTAGAATAGTCCTTCTCATAATAATTTCCATTAAAAGACAAATATACATTTAAGCTTAAGTTACCTGTTATTTGTACGACATGGTTGTTTAAGCTTAATGGTTTATTTTTCAAAATATCAATTTTCTGTTTAAGAAATTGCTCTTTGGCTTCTATTTCCTCGATGTTGTCTGTGAATACCTCTGTAGTAATGTCTGTGGAGAGTTCCTGGAGTGAAAAATGGATTTATTTGATTTTTATGTCAAATACCTGTTTATTTCTACTGCCCTTTTGCGCTGCTCTGCATGAGAGCAACACGCGGGAAATATATAAATGTCAATTCCCGGCATTGCCCAGAGGTTCCCGGTGAGGTTGTATTGGGGGACATTTAATGGGGGCGTTACGTATCTGGGATTAAATAAGAGTAGAGAAAAATCTAGTGAAAAGTCTAGATTATCGCTAACCTTTGTGGAGTCGTTGTACTCTGTGGATTCAAAATCATCGTCAGAATATAAATCCTCGGATTCTCCACTACTACTTTTTAGCTTCGAAATCGTTTGTAAACTGTCTTTGTTATTTGTTTCATTATCCATTGTATCATCGATATAACTTGAATCAACAAATTGAAGAGTTTCTTCTAAAAAGTCCTCCCCACGATACGACGTCGAAGCACTCTCCCCTGCTGTAGATTCAAATATTTGACCTCTTTCGACATCTTCTTCTAGATTACTCATCTTAAAAGGGTTCTAGTATTTCAATTTTCCATTTGTATCGGTATACGAATAGTACGTATGTGATAAACTCATCATTCTTGCAACCAGTGCAAGCAAAACAACTTTAATTAACATGCACAAAAATCAAGTGAAAGCACAGGAAGCCCAATCTGTAAAACGGGGGAGGATCSGGAATAAATTTCGTGAAAAATATAGAAAATAAATCATGACTATAAAACAAATAAAAAAAAACGAAATAATAATGTTAAAAAAAATGAAAAGAATTCGAAGAAAAAAAAGGTACGACCAGGGAGGAGATAGCCGATCCCAGGATCCCGAATATGAATAACACCCGAATTGAACCTTTTTGCTCATTTATTCAGAATCGGCTCTAAAATGTCGATTATTACCGTCGGATTTATAAAAAGGAATATTAAAGCTTTAGGAAAATCGTATTAATTTTGAAAAAGTATAAATTATAAGGGGGTTAAAATTCGTTTTTCTGAATCAACTGTCGCGCACATACACAAGACGTTTGTTTCCACCTTGGGAAAAACCTGTCCGTACTCCTTTACGCATGCCTATACTTCAATGGACGCTAATTAGAGCAAATGTTCAAGTTTACAGGGAATGACTTTGATATGCAGCCGTGATGAAATAATTAGTTAATGTTTCCCTGGTCGCTTCCCGGAAATTGTCCTTTATCAGGTCTCCCGAAGCTAAAAAAATGTGCATGGTTTCTTTTGGCTCTCAGCGGCAGTCCTGATATGAAAACCATGCACTAGACTAGTGATTTGGGACGACTTCGTTTTTTGYTATGTTAATTGGCTTTTAAATATTCACCGAGGTGAATTGACAAAAAAAATCCTAACCTCCAGGGCATCATTGACTGAAAACGGTAGATAGACAATGTTGACGAGCGGAGATTACCAAGCGGCTCTCCGCCCTTTTCAAGGTCCAAAGTTCACCATACGGTTGATATCAGTACTATTTAATATTAAGGAAAGTACTATAGTTACACCTAAAAGTCCCTGTATCAAGCTGTATTTACATCTAAATATTTGAACTTTGAACCAATGATAGTCTCCGAAAGTTAAGCTGGCTCTCCGATCAAAACCATGTGTTTTTTTGCCATATTCATATGCCACAACATTCCAAAAAAAAACTATTATCGTACGACACCGGGATTTGTGGAGAGGAATGGGAACTTGTATTATTTCAACTACCTATAATTAGAGTCATCCGAGAATCAGTCCTTCGATCGAGGGGGCTGGGGAAAGGGGGAAAACGAAGGCCTCCCTTTTTTCCCCTCCGTCTTTTGACGCCCAGAGAGGCTGATACTCAGTTTAAGTGACGGAGGACTGTTTTAACAAATATCTTAAAATATCTAAAACACGCGACCTTAATTAACTACAGGTTCTGGAAGCGGAACAATGACCTCTCAAWCATTCATTGGCATCATCAGTATTTAATCTCTCTTACCAAGCTTGAAATAGAAGATCTTACGTAGTGAGAATCATCGATATACAAAGAACAACACCATGGATCCTGCGAGGTATTCAAAGAGATAAATTYAACKTCCATTAGCGAATTTCTTCTATGATTGATTCATATCTTTGATTGTTTGATTGTAGTTTTGATGCCCTACATTAAGGTCACYTGCATGAAACTCCCTGACTACACACTATCCAAATAAATTACTAAAAGGTAAGTTTGGTCAGATCAGCTCGGACCTGCTCGGTGATACAGTGTTTTTAGATTAGTTAATTAGTAAAAAAATTCTTAGATGTAAACTTCTCTAATTTCTACTCACATTATCATACATAAGATTAAATACTGTCTGAGGAGTGCATAATCTCACAGCAAATCTTGTCGCGTCTTGTTTTATTTCTTCATTTACCTAGCTATGCACTATATGTGTATTGAGCACTGTTTGATATGGATTTTTTTTTTGATCGGCACTTATATTCTTAAGTGCATTACTGCAGTTCTTGCTGCGCAAAATTTTTTTTTCGCATACCTATCAAGCATGTCCAGTAGACAGCGGTCAAAACGATTACAGCGCGACACGCACCTTACCCGCGCTAAGGTATTTCGGCAGTTAATTGATCGCTGTTTTATCGCGCAGAAAACCCGGTTACTTACTTCTACTGATGCACATTGAAAACTTCAACCTTTCTGTAATTATGTTTTTAGCCACATAAATCTTCTTTCAATGACATAATCAGTAGAGTCACTGATTGTATACCTTGGTTCATTGCCAGKCCCGCTGGCGATCTGGCGATCATGACGGAAACAGCAACCCTTTCCAGTATCTCGATCGGTGGCGATTGTAGCGATAATCATGATCTGTACTCTGATTTATTATATAATTATCTATCAAATACCTATATTTCTCTCTTTTAAAACTGTGAAAATGACACATTCAAGCTTTCTCTGAGGTTTCTCTATGTGTTGGAAGTAAAAAAGGTATTTTCATATAATTATCTATGAAATACCTATATTTCGAAAAAGTTATTTTCGCAATTGAAAATAACACATTCGAGGTTTCTCTATACATTTTAAAAAGTTAAAAAGGTAYTTTACGACAGAATTTGCTTACATATATAATTATATGATAAACAGAATATTGCATGATCGTTTGTATCAGTTCTCGTGTTGAAAATCGCTACGCTTACTCTGCGAACAGAGCTACTTTTCTCACCCGCCGAGAAGCGAGAGGAAAATTTCGCAGAGTACGCTACGCTCACTCGAAGATCAAAAAACCGTATCTCCGCGCGCCTATGAAATATCCTCTATATTACCTGTTTCTCGGTCAAATATCCATAAAGCGATGTTATTTTAAGTGAGTTAGTAATGTTTTATGGAATCTATACAAGATTTCAATATTAGAGGGATTCTTTCGGCGATTGTTATTCTGGAATTATTGCTCTGCGAGTCCGAGAATTTGTATGTGAGCCACGAGCATATTGTGCGAGCCTCTCAAACTAAGAAATTTTTATTTTATTTCTTTTCTTGTAAGAAATTTCATTTCAGCGATCACTTCCGCTCCAACCGCGGTGCGAAAGCGCGAAGGTGCGAAGGGGTGAATCCTTCACCTCAAATCACAATAATCTCAATTTTTAAGAGGCTTTTGGTTGGACGCGTTATAAGTCAACCACGTTATCGTGCTTACAAGGTTTTAGAAAATGTTTAGGCTGTGAACAAGAACGAAAACTTAGAATCGTACGGACAGCCCAGAGCAAGGTTTCGTCATATAACTGATAATGTGATATGGTCTAATTTCGACAAAAAAAATCTATAAAAAGAAAATATTGAACTTGAAATTTTGAAATTAATAATTTATATGCATCCGTAACACCTTACGATATCGACAATGAATTATCAACACCATCACAATTTTATTCTTTTGCTTACTATGTTATCGAGCCGCGAAGCGGTGAGACGTTAAACAAACCGATTAACGGAAACGTCTCGCCGCTTCGCGGCTCGATAACATAGTAAGCAAAAGAATAAAAGACAAGCCTCTGGAACCAGGGTAGAATAATCCTTGAGATCATCGTAATAGAATGCTGCTAGTGTATYTATGAGCCATATTGACACGATATCTCCTAAAACGACTTCTGAAATAAACAGATTTGAAATTGGTAAGAAGCTTATACAAGAACGTCCAGACCTCAAAAATCACATTTTGTGTATTTAAAAAGCCATTTCTGTATCAAAATACCTGGCCAACTTGGTAGTGCCCGTATGTTTACAGAAAAAATAAGTGACTAATTAACTAGTCCACCCACCTCACACACCATCATCTATCTCCCTCATATAACTCTTCGATTGCTTCGCAATCTTCGAGTTCAAAAACGAGCAACCCTCGCTATCTTGGTCGCTGGCGATCCGAGAGATACACCTTTTGCTGTTCATTTGCGCAAAATATACAATCATTTACATCAGCAGTAAAAACAACAGGGCGAAAAGACATTCTTTAGCATTATCTTATGTTTCGATAACKCCAAGAAACATTTACATATGCAGTAACATTCAACAGCATTAACAGATAAACAATTGCACCTTTGAACAATCAAACTTAGCGAACGTACATTCACAATCTCGCGGAATGGATAATCAGTCAACACCAAGAAACAATCAATTACATCGATTGACAATGGTACATAAAAGACATTCAACAACAAAATTTACATAGAGAAGCGTCTTTATACAATCATTCATTCGAAATGAACATTAAATAGCGAGAAACGACAAACATGTGCTTAATAACAATCAATTATCATGGAAAAAGAAATTTCAATTTATTTTATCCATTTTTTGATATAGAGTACCTATCCTTCGATTTCTTCACGATYTATGCATCTTGAGATGTATCTCTTGCACAAATCATAACCATTGTCCATATTTGGCAGCTGGATTGTCGGATTATCYAGAATACGAGCTTTAAGTCCTGTAGCTTAGGGACGGTCCATTTAACTTTTGAGGGGGGGGGGGGGGGGGGAGGTGGATGATTTCTTGTGAGCAAGTTTTTTTTTCTTCGTGGCTTTTGGGTAGGATATATATTTTTTCTCTTGGTGGTGTGTAGGAATTTTTCTTGTATTTAACATTTTTTTGGCTTAGGGTGGTGCAAAATTTTTTTTCAGCTCCATATGTTGTGCACGATTTTTTTTTTATGAAGATGGCTTGCAGGATTTTTTTTTCAAAATCATCCACCCCCTTCCCCCCCGCCCCCTCAAAAGTTAATGGTTCGTCCCTTTCATTCTGATGAAGATATAAGCGAATAAAGATTTGAAATATTTGGTTAATTTGTATACGCCATCTTGGATGAAAAGTTTTTCTTATATAGAGCGGATAATTGATAAAAATAAATAGATTGTATAAACTTTAAGAACATAWAAACGAGCAGATATCGATCTTTACAGCCACTGCCTGAGAAACAGGAATTACAGTGAAGATATCAAACCCATGATACAAAATTTAATACGACTTAGTACGCTTTGCATTGTTTTCGCTTGTGTCTATTTGTCTTTTAAATTAAAAGTCAAATTTTGTTTCACNTTTGATCGCTGTTTATTCATCGCGCAGAAAACCCGGTTTTCTAACTTACTTCTACTGCACATTGAAAACTCCAACCTTTCTGTAAGTATATTTTTAGCCACATAAATCTTCTTTCATGACATAATCAGTAGAGTCACTGGTTGTAAACCTTGGTTCATTGCCAGTCCCGCAGGCGATCTGGCGATCATGACGCAAACACTTTTAAATTCCAGCAACCCTTGGCATCTCGATTCGATGGCGATTGTAGCGACAATTGGTACTCTGATTGTTGTTATTTTCACTAAACACATTCGCAGAGGTTTCTCTATATAGTGGAAGTAAGAAAAAAGTTATTTTACGACATCATTTGCGTTCATTTATATGTCTTTTCGACACTCAAAGATAAAATCCGTATCTCGGCGCGCTAATGTAATATCCTTTATATATTTCTCTCTTTCAAAAGTATAAAAAGTTTACACATCCGASGTTTCTTTATGTATTGGAAGTAAAAAAAGGTATTTTCATATAATTACATGTAATTATCTATGAAATACCTATATTTCGAAAAAGTTGTTATTTTCGCTAGATATATGCCATAAACAGAATGTTCCATGGTCGCTTGGATATACGAATTTTATTCTCGTGTTGAAAATCGCTACACTCACTCATGAGAGATCTTTTCAACACTCGAAGATAAAATCCGTATCCTATTTTATGATTTTTTAAGTCAAAAAGTAAAAGTTAATAATATTTTATGGAATCTATACAAGATATTTCAATATTAAAGTTTAACAGTTAAATGAAGGGATTGTTATTCGTCGATTGTTATTCTGGAATTGTTGCTCTGCGAGTCCGAGAATTTGTATGTGAGCCACGAGCATATTGTACGAGCCTACCAAACTAAGAAACAGTTAATTTTCATTTTATTTTTTTTTCTTATAAAACATTTCATCAGATATATGTCATATACCGGCTGGGAGGTCCGTATAGGAAAACACTGCCCGAGGTCTTGACAGTACGGAACGAGCGCAGCGAGTTCCGCGTACATAAAAGACCGAGGGCAGTGTTTTCCTATACGGACCGGCCTATAGCCGGTAAATAACATTTTTATTTTTTTTATTTGCATTTTTTGCAACTTTGCTCGCAGCCTAGCTGCAGGATACCGTGGACCGGGCAGATCGTGAAAAACCGGACCGCGCGCTAGCCAGTCACAGCGCGAATGACTAGGATACCGGACCGAAAAAAAAAATAAATGAAAAAAGATATTTTTATGATTTGTAGTATTTACTGGAACATTTATTTTCAGCGATCACTGCCGCTCCACACGCCGTGCGAAAGCGCGAAGAGGTGAATCCTTCACCTCAAATCACAATAATCCCAATTTTTAAGAGGCTTTTGGTCGGAAAAGAAAAGTGCATATCCCGAGCTCGTTTTCAAGACAATTGATTTTGAATGGGATCATGTTGTGACGTTTTCCAACAAATTGCGAAAAATTACTTTTTCTTGAAAAAACTCATGACTCAAATATTATTAAAGAWATACTGATTTTAACAAAAATCCAACCCGAAATCCAACTCGAAATCAACTGACTATCTCGCCGGACTTCGCGCTGTTACAGCGTCTAGTTTCTTTGAACAGATATCKTTACAGCCACTGCCTGCAGG